GGAGAATAATATATAGAGAAATAATTATTGTCAAAAGCAAATACATTGGGCGCCTGGGTGGCTCAGTTGGTTGAGCGACTGCCTTCGGCTCAGGTCATGATCCTGGAGTCCCGGGATCGAGTCCCGCATCGGGCTCCCTGCTCGGCAGGGAGTCTGCTTCTCTCTCTGACCCTCCCCCCTCTCGTGTGCTCTCTCTCTCATTCTCTCTCTCTCAAATAAATAAATAAAAAATCTTTAAAAAAAAAAAAAAGCAAATACATTGAGAGACATACAGAAAAATCCTATTCAAGTTTAAAGTAATACTATATTAAATTTCTCTGGGGTAATTTGGAGAAACTTAATGCAGAAGGTGTCAGTAAAATGAAGTCATTAAAGATAGGTAAATATATGGAAGCATAATCAGAAATAATGGCCTTTTCAGGTGGGGCAGGAAATCTACAAAGAACAAAGGCATAGTGAAGAGAAGTCTCAAAAAGTGCTTAGATGACAGGGAAAAGTTTACTTTCACTGGAATGGGAGTTTTTGAAGCTGTGTAATGGGAGAGAGGTAGAGAGTTAGGTTGAAGTTTCACAAATTACTGAACGTGAATACCAAGTGTATTTGGTAGACAATGGCAAGCCACTAAAGATTTTCAAAGTATAAAACTATGTAAACAGATCCGTGTTGTAGTCATATTATTTTGTCAATAGATATTGGTGTACAAATGAGGGATGTGAGACCAGAGGCAAGGGAAGCACTTAGGAGATGTTTGCAGCTGTCCTGGAGAAGCTATTCAGGGACTGTTTTGTATACTTGGGCTGGCACTGGCAGAGGTCATGTGCTACAGAGACTGGAGAGGAAGAACCAGCCAACCCAAGTTATTGAATATGTTCTCAAAGATGACCTTTAAGTGATCTGGCAGGACAGATTCTGAAAATGACTGTATTACTATTATTTTTTTTTTAATGGCAAATGCAGGGGAAACAGGAATGAGCACCATTTTGGACATACTGAGCTTAATATGCCATGTGAATATGTCAGGGAATCAATTTGTAACGTTCATGAGATTTTTGAGTTGTTCCTGGAGTTATCTATCTGCGTAATGATGAAAGACAGAAACTGTGGGGGACCGGGTTGACGCAGAGACTCCCTTTTTTTTGTTCCTGTTACAAACACATAAATATAACCACTTTTAAAACATACAGCCAAACTCAGAAAGGAAAGTCCTCAGATTTCATCAAAGAAAGTGTGGTAAGCATGCAGGTTGATGCCACTAACACATGGGGTATCTATTTCAGATATCCCTAGTGGCTTGAAAACGGGATTTTAATGTCTATATGGGAAAAGACAGATATTCTACTAAAACATGGATTTGAAAGTGATTATTCTTGGAGGCGGGAATCACCTCCTTGTAAATGCAAAGTCAGTGGAACTTGTTGGTATATCCTGGAAACCCAAATTAAGAAACTCAGGTAGAAATTTGTCCAAGAAGTGGTAAAGTCCATAGAGCAAGGGCCAAAGGAAGTCAGATCTTGTTTATAGAGACATTTGAATGAGTCAAGACTCTCATGGAATTCCTACAGAAACTAAAATCACTGTGAAAAGACACAGTAAAATTTATAAACCACATGATGATACACAGTGTATGCTAAGAAAAAAAATAAGCAAAAAAATATAGGAAAACTTTAACAGAAAGGAAGGAAATAGAACAATCTGAAGAGAGATTGTAAGTTAACCCCTCAAAATAAAGAGGAAAAGGAAGAACATAAAAGAACAGATCTTTATAAAAAATAATGAAGCTTTTATAAAAAGAAACATTTCTTTAAATTAAAAATACATTTATTAAATGAAAATGATTGAACAGCAGATTACATACAGTTGAAAGGGGTATTAGTGACTGGAAGTAGGATTTAAGGAAATTGCAATAATAAAACACAGAAAAAATTAATAGAACTTTTGAAAGTGAGGTTAAGAGAGAATGCCTAACAAAATTTTCAGGAGAAAAAAAGGAAATCAGATGTGAGCGATAGGTTTGATGAATTAATACCTTGAGGATTTTCTAGATTTGAAGAAAAACATCAATGTAAATATTAAAAAAGTATAACAAGTCCTGACATTCTCATGGTAAAATGTAGAATATTAGATATAAACAGAGAATCCTAAAGATAATAGAGAACAAATCACTATAAAATTTCTATAAAGGTATTACCATTAGATAGCAAAATTCTCATCAGCAAAACTGAGACCAGATAGTGAAATATGTTCAAAAAGGCAGAATAACTTAACATAGAATTTTATACCTAGCCAAACTATTATACATTAATTAAGGTGAAATAAAATCATTTGCTGACAAAATGGCCTGCAAAACTCAACCATTGGTGGAAAAAAGTACTGAAGGACATTAAGCCAGAGGTAAGAAACTGGATAAAAAGAAATGGAGAGGTTGTGGTTTGGGGCTTCATCAGAGTAGAAACGATTTAAGATAGGTCTGTGAGAAATTTAACCACCAGTCAATCAAAAATAGATCAAAGGTTCTATGGCATAATAGTGAGGAGATTCTTGAGACTAGCTACTCTCAAATCTGTGTATTGTCCCCTTTTTTATGCAAGGGAATCAAGCAATCCAGGGGAGGTAGTATTGCTAATGGTTTAGTGGTTTTTAATTTTGACAAAATAATGGAGATTTAGAAATTATTTTGAAATATTAGTGGTTGAATTTCATTCCCTAAGTTTGTGATTTAATTGGTTTGGAGTGTGTCTTAACCATCAGGGTTTTGTTTTTTAAGCTCCCCAGGTGATTCTGTGTGGGCAAGTTTGAGAGCCACTCTAATAGATTGCTAGAGAAGAACAGAAATCTAGACGTTGACTCTAGCCACTAGTCAAAGCAGATGATGTAAACTATTTTTATCATGGTAGAGACATTCTCACACTCATGAAAGTATTTCACTTATTACCAGCAGCAAGTTTTTTCTGTAAAGGACCAGACGGTAGTATTTTAGGTTTTGTGGGTCAAATGGTCTCTGTGTGGCTCCTCACCTCTGCTCTTACAGTGCGGAAATAGCCATGGATAATAGGTAAACAGAAGGGCATGGCATTGTTCCAATAAAATTTTACTTGCAAAAGACTAATGAGCAGGATTTGGCCTGTGGGTCTTAGTTTGCCAACCTGTGCTTATAGAATATTAAAGTAAGTTAATGAACATAGTTGAGAATCCTTATGTTTGTGGAATCGGTGGAATATGAAAACCAGGCAAACCTGGAAAGGAATCAGGGAAAACTTGAGTGAATGAAAATGCACGTGGCCAACTTAAATTTAGGGCACAAAGGGGTAGCTATGGCCAGATTAGTTGAGAATGCAGGAGAGGTTGGTTTTGGTTTGCTTTTATTGTTTTGCCCTTTTTTTTCTCTATTTTTTTCATATATATATATTTAGAGGGATGGCATGTAAATGCATGGCTTGGATTTTCTATTTAATCACATTTAGATATTTTGGGTTTAGAATAAATGTGATTATACACACACACAGAAAATACATATTTATCTATAATCATTGTATCTGCATTGAAAATGTTCTTTTTCAACCTTAGCCTCCTTTTCCAAGTGTTAGGTTTATGTAACATTTTCTTTCCAGTTGTTTTGATTAAATTTATACAGATGATTCAAACAAGATTATAGTAATTATTAGAGCAGAGAAATGGATTTTCTCTCCAGCATAACTTTCAAATTTTAATTGAATTAACCTCTTAATTCCTTCTCTGTCTTCATCACTGCTTACCTGATTTAGTAAATTGCTTATTTATTTGAATCACAAAACACAACTTTTATTCACATTTTAATACTTTTGAAATTGGATTACATCTTTGGAATCAGTGGGTATGGATTGAATCATTGAATATATAGTTTACTTTTTCATTCCAACATCTGTTATGAAATTCATAGTGTATCTTATAATGGACAGCATCTTAGAATCATAGAAATAACGGTTTTATGGTTTGTCTTGTTTTGGCCTGCACCTTTCCTCTGGCAACCACTTCCAGAGTTCTCAAAGAGTTAACATTCCTGGAAAACTACTCTGATCTTGTCACTACATTACCTAATAACTTTGAGTGATCTGAAAGTTCAGACTCCTTGGCATGGCATTCAAGGGCCTTATTATCTAAAGCCTGTTATATTCTGGCTCAGAAAATTGGATCTCCAGCCTCATTTCCTACCACCCCTCTCTCTCTCATGTGAATTGCTTCATCCCTGACAATCAAACACATGATGCATTATTTTAATACAAGCGTTGTAAAATCTCTGAGGAAAGTTTAATAAAATGGGATTGGTGTTGAGCTGAAAATAGCTAAAACAGGCTTTTTCTAAAGCTTAATACTTAAGATGGAAAAGTATTATTATCATTTCAGGAAAGACTTGACTTTTTATATTAAATTGTTGAAGAAGCTTATGGAATATCTTTATTTGGAGTCTTTTAAACAGACTAGAAACTCTTCTGTTTGGGATGATTTAGGTATACCCACAGGAGATAAACAAGATGAACTTTGAGGTTGTGGCCAGGTTTAGAAGTTTTGGGGTGATTAATGACTATCTAAATGAGGCCAAAAGATCCAAATGGGAGTAAAAAGAAATTCAGTTAGTCATCTACATGCTATCTCTCTGATTCCAAAGACCTGGATATTTAATAATTGAATGTATGTACTTAAATAAAACTATGTAGTTCAGTGATATTTTCTGCTTTGAATGTTCATATATTGCTGTTGTATAAATAACTCCACAAGATAAACACATGTTATCTTATTCCCATCTGCCATCAAATAACATATCAAATTGTAATTACTAGATAAAAATGTGAGTTCAATTGAAAATGTTCCAAAATTGTTTTTGTTTGTTCTGAGAATAATAATGAACTGGTGTAAAATACATTTTTGATGACTTTTTAGCTATTTCTTAATTTTTATAAAATGAAAATTAGGAAATGACTTATCCATCATCCATATATTTATATGATTCTGTATTTTGAATTTAGGTATGTGTCTTGTGCCCTGGGCTGTCCGTATGAAGGAAACATCACACCACAAAAAGTGACAGAAGTAAGATACCCCTGGTTTTCTTGTTCTTGGTAAAATGATGTATATTATTTTAAAAAGTGGCCTATTTTCCTTACTGTGTTTTGCATCTGACAACAGAGTTGTCTTCCATGGGATGGAAGACAAGTTTGATTACTTAACTAATTGTTTCATTTGGACACTGCAAATGGATATATTGGCACAACTCTTCAAAGTTATAATAACCTTAGTCTTATCATTTGGGTGCTCAAAGGTGAAGGAATAAAAACACCTGTTTCATTTTTACATGGGTAGAATGCAGTGAGGGCCTTTCCACATTCCATCAGAATGTCAGGACAGTTTGTGCACACACACTTCAACTTCGCTTTGGTCGCTCAGGTAGGCTCCCTTTGTTTTTGTCCTGCGTACTTTGACACTTGTATCAGAGTTTTTTCTGATACACTGTTTTTGCTGTACACTTTTTGTTCCTTTAAGATCCAAAAGTCTTACTGCTGAGATTCAAGTTGCTTTTATTAGCAATTTTTTGGTGATAAATTATATTATATATAAAGACCTTATTGAAGTTCATTTTCTACTTCCTGTTCCTGTTTATTAATTGATACCAATGAAGACAAAATATTCAGTCTCAGAAACATTTGTATATGAACTATATTAATGTGCACCTGTTGTTAAGGCTGTTATTTTCATATATTTTGTAATGCGTTACCAAAGTAGTGAAGATAGAGCATTGTTAGAAAATCAGAATTTACGCAGGATAAACCTTCAGTTTGGCTAAAGCCATTCCTCTTTTGTGCTTCCATTTGAACTTCTGAAATTTACTGCAGATTTTTTTCAAATGAGTGTTGTCCCGCAGTCTATTTTTAAGACCTTTACACAGAGAGGCAGATACACTATAAAATAAAGATTCTTCAGTGTTGTAGTCCTTCACCTGCCTGGGACCCTTCTAAGACTTTATTAATTTGCATTCACAAATACATATTCTTTTCTTAAAATTTCCAAAATGATAAAACTTTAGGCTCCACAAAAAACGAGGCTCCAACTCTACCTGTCCACCAAACCCCTTGCTTTTCTGCCTTTTGCCTTGTGGAGTCTCTGGATGTACCACCCACATCCTCAGCCTCTTCATGCCTGCCCCAGAATGCCTGAGGAGTTGTTGAAGAGAATCAGGCAGATCAGAAGCATTAGTTGATGACCAGCAACTTTAAATGAGCCTTCTGTACTCTTCTGCTAGGTTTTGTGGCTGGCTCACTCTCTTACTGCCTGCAGTCAGCATTGCAAACTGTTCAGTCTGTTCAAGCTTCTAGTTCCTCTCCTCATTTACTCCCCTGTATATTCAACTGGTTAGAATCCTTCCTGTTGACACCTGAACACGTTCAAGTCTCTTCCATCTGAAAGCTTCCTTTCTTAATTAAACATCCACATCTATTTACTGGTTACCTATTTTTATCCTTCTACATCTATTTTTTTATTTTTTAAAGATTTTTTGTTATTTGAGAGAGCGAGAATGAGAGAGAGAGAGAGAGCACATGAAAGGGGGGAGGGTCGGAGGGAGAAGCAGACTCCCCGCTGAGCGGGGACCCCGATGCAGGACTCGATCCCGGGACTCCAGGATCATGACCGGAGCCGAAGGCAGTCGCTTAACCGACTGAAACTTCTTCAAAGGGCTGTCTACACTACTGGTGTTTATTTCCTCAGGTGCCACCAGCTCTTCATCATCCTCCAAGTTGACTTCTAGACCACTTCACTGAAATCCCTCTTTGTAAGACCACTACTTAGCATTTGGGTTAAAAAATGCAAGATCATATTCAGTACTCATCTTGACATCTTAGCAGAATTTGGGACTACTGACCACTTGTCCTTGATGACACCCTTGTTTCCTTAAACTCCCTTGATACTACACTTAGGGTTTTCATCCAACTGTGGCTAGGTTTCTCTCTTGAAACTTCATTGTCCTTTACCTGGCCATTATGAAATTCCAGCATTTAATAGGCAGTAGGGAAGAATGAAAATTGTGCCTTTGTTTTTTGTTTTTTGTTTGTTTGTTTGTTTTAAATCCAAGTTTCCATCCAATAATAGTCTCCTACTTGGACTAGGGGGCCCTTCTGAGTGCCCTCCAACCTGTTTTTGATATTGTTGATAGTGCCTTTCTGAAAGATTAATATTGCCACTACCCCAACAGTCTGTTGTGGCTTTCTATTGCTCTTATGATAGAATCCTCAACCAAAATTCTCAGCTTGGCTTGTTTGCAAGGCTCTGCATGGTTTGTCCTACGCCCACCTCACCAGAATTATGTAGCTTCATTCCCCCTTGGTTTTTGCTTTCTTGCCACACCTACCCTTTGTATTTTTTTTTCCTATCTGGAATGCCCTTTGCATTTTCTATTTCAGCTGTCTGGAACACGTTATATTCCACCTGAAACATTCTTAGTGTACCCTTCTTCTCACCCTCTTCAACAAGTTAACGCCTCCTTTATCTCAAGCTCTCACTTAGGCCCTTCCTACTTGATAGATGTAGGTCAATTTCCTTTGCTACATGCTCTTAGAATCCTGTTTCTTTGTTCCAAAATTCTTATTTTACTTGTATTTACACTTTCTTGAGTGGAATTGTTTGAGTTCAATCCTCAGTTGACAGCATCAACCATCTCAGGACTTATATGCTGATTATGTCCCAGCCCCTAAACTAGTGCCTGCCAAAAAATTATGAGAAATACATAATAAATCAGTTATTTTTTTTACATATGCCAGATATTGTACAAAGCGATTTTTTATATATTCTCATTTCATTTTCATAACCAACATATCCTTATTAACATCATCATTAATACAATCTTTAAAAATTAATAAGACTTAGAAAATATGCTAATAAGAGTATTTGTTATCTCTATTTTACAGGAAAGAGACTGAGGCTTAAAAAGGTTAATCTTCTACCGAGTAGCACATGAGTAGCATGGGTGGAAGCTGAGATTTAAATCCAGGCTTGTCTGATTTCAGAACTCATGTCTTTAACATACCATGCTGCCTTCTTGCAAACTCATATTGCTCTTTGAAAGCGACATTAGTTATCCATCATAAAGGGAACTTGCAGTTTACTTTGCACAAGTGCATCCATTTATAAGCCAGAAAAATTAAGTTAGAAATCTTAGGTGATTCTGTCAATCACAAAACTACTTACTGACAGAGCTGGAACGAGTATTGATATCTCTTGACCTCTAATCTAACGCCTCGAGAAATACTACTTCCAAAGTAAATTTGTAATGCTCCTGTTTTGATGATAGGGTTGAGAAAGTAAGCCTCCCATAATTGAAATTGTAGCTTATAATTTCATAACCAAACTATGTAAATAGATAGTTATGATTCTAAGGCAAATTTGAATATTAGAAAAATATAGTAATGTCTTTAAAACCTTTATGTAATGCTTAGGATTTAATAAACAGGAAAAAGACCAGAAAACTAAAATAAATGTTTCCCATGGATCCATAACTGATCTTAGTTGTGACTTTTACTTCTGGATGATGTTTGCTAAGGAATAACAGGGTTTGAGACTGTCCATTTCCATTGTTTTACTAGCTCCTCACCTTTCCCGACAGGTATCTAAGAGATTGTATGGTATGGGCTGTTATGAGATCTCTCTGGGAGACACCATTGGAGTGGGAACTCCAGGAAGCATGAAGAGAATGTTGGAGAGTGTCATGAAAGAAATCCCACCTAGTGCTCTTGCCGTTCACTGCCATGACACATATGGACAAGCCTTAGCAAATATCCTTACGGCCCTTCAGGTATTTCGTATTATTTGTGTGTATGTGCAAAATGGGTATCCTTACTTATAAACATTAAGAGCATTAGTGGGATAATATTTATAAACTGCTATGAATATAGTGCTTAAACAGTGTCTACCACATGACAAGCACTCAGGAAATATCTGAAAATTACACATTTATTTTTAGGACAATGATGTCTCCTATTGCTGTTAATTTGATTTGATAAAATTTGTCCTTTTTTTACTGTAGGGTAGTTGACATACAATATTAGTTTTAGGTGCAACACAGTAATTCAATAATTATATATATTATGAAATGACCACCACAGTAAGTGTAGTTATTCTGTCACTTACAACAATATTGACTATGTTCCCCACATGCTTGTCATGCTTATGACTTTTATAACTGGAAGTCTGTACTTTTTAATACCATTCATCTATTTTACCCATTACCCCTACCCACCTCCCTTCTGGCAACCAAGTGTTTGTTCTCTGTATTTAAGAGTCTATTTGCTTGTTTGTTTTGGTTTTTAGATTCCACATATAAGAGAAATCGTATAGCATTTGTCTTTCCCTGTCTGGCTTGTTTGCAGACCTGTATTATTATACATGAAGTATTTGTCTTTTCCATCTGGCTTATTTGCAACATCCATGTTGTTGCAAATGGCAAGATTCCATTCCTTTTTGTGGCTGAGTAATATTCCATTGTGTGTATATGTACCACATCTTCTTTCTCCTTTCATCTATTCATGGACACATAAATTGCTTTCATATCTTGGTTATTATAAATAATGCTGCCATAGAACGGATAGGTGCATATATCTTTTTAAATTAGTGTTTTTGTTTTCTTCAGGTAAATGCCCAGAAGTTGAAATATTGGGTTGTATGGTATTTCTTTTTTTTTCCCCTTTAAAATTTTTATTGTTAATCACCATACATTACATCATTAGTTTTTGATGTAGTGTTCCATGATTCACTGTTTGTGCATAACACCCAGTGCTATACGCGGAACATGCCGTCTTTAATACCCATCACGAGGCTAACCCATCCCCCCACCCCCCTCC